TTGGTAAACATCGACCAGACTACACAGCGTAACAACCCAGAAGACGGAAATCTTCATACTCACCGCTGTGAGAACCTCAAGTATTACACTATGTAACTAATACATTTTAAAATTTTCACTAAAACAATTAAACTATTTAACTAAAATATACACAATTAAACTAATAATAGTTTAATTAAAATCACTATTTAACTAATACAATTTACAATTTTCACTAAAACAATTAAACTAATTAACTAAAATATAACCAATTGAACTAAAATATAAACAATTTAATTAAAATACAATATTTAACTAAAACAATTTAACGTTTTCATTAAACTATTTAACTGAAACTATTTAACTTTTCGTCTAAAAATACTCAAACTATACTAAATTGGGCAGATTCATGATGTGCTGTATTAACGATGCAAACACCACGTCGCCCATTTCAGGATTCTGCAAAGGAAATAAACATTTGTGTCAGAACGGGAACTGCAATTACGGTAATAAGTATAGAAACACATGCAGCGAAAGTTTATGAACGTTTTGTTATTTTTATTCTTAAATATACAATATGTGAACTAAAGACAATTTAACTAAAGACACTTTAACTGTTTAAATAAAACAAAGTAACTACTTAACTAAAGGAATTTACCTACTTAACTAAACCTATTTAACCTTTTAATTACAAACTACGTAACTAAAGGGGCAGATTCGTTATTTCTTCAATGAGGCCGCAAATTCGATGTGGGCCATTTCTGGATTCTGCAAAGGAAATAAACATTTGGATAAGAACAGGAACTGGAATTATTAGTAACAAGTATGGAGACACTTGCAGCAAAATTTATGAACATATTTTGTTTTTTTTTATTCTTAAATATATAATGCGTGAGCTAAAAACAATTTAGCAAATACAGTATTTAACTTATTTTCTAAAAATAATTTAAACATTAATTTAACTATTCTAAAATGGTATTGTCATGATTTTTTCGATGAATATTATCCATTTCTGGAATCTGGAAAGGAAATAAACATTTGCATCAGAATAGGAACTGCAATTATGGGTAACAAGTATGGAAACACGTACAGCGAATATCTCGTGGTGGGTGATCTCTAAGGATGCAGGTTTTGAAGG